AAAAAATTGAAAATTTGATATCCTCAGGAAAGAAAGAAACTTCCTTATTTCATTATATAGATGAGTGTTTTTCCTGAAATGATTCATAAGCAACAATTAAAAGGAATAGAATATATAAACACATAAATATCTTTGATATAACACAACTATTCTTTTGATGTAAACCCTATGAAGTTTTACGACTTCATGAAATGAATACTGTGAATGTAATGTACTATACAAATTGAGAATAAATTATTATCGCGTAAATTAACATGGTGAATATGAATATAATATTGACTGAGAAGATATAATAGTAAACTTTGTACTACAGAAAGAAATACATAAAGATTTATAATCGTATATTTTACAAAGAAAAGAATTTTTTTAATATTCATTTTACAAGGTTATTAATATTAAGAAACATCTTTATGTTGTGTAGTTCCTTCTTGATAAAGAGAAGGAACTTTTCTTAAAATTTTAAATCACGTTTTGTTGATTCTTAATTACGTAAACGGAATTTCGAAAGAATTATATTTCCTGAAAACGATTAAATTAGATAATTAGTGTATATATATTATCTACAAAATATTTATTGTATTTATTTGTAGTATTTTTTTTTTTTTGTATTTCTATATTCAAATACACCAGGTGTTTTTATTTTATATTTCTACATTCCAAAGAGACTTTAGTGTATGGTGTTTAGTCTGAAGCATAATATATGTATGAGTTTGTTTAGTCTTCTGTACAATCTGTTTAATTTGTGTAAAGTTTTTTTATAATTTTTCCCTTTCTTTTAAGAGATGAAGAATGTTTTAATTCTAAACTCAAATGTTATTTATTTCCGATTTAATGTAATTATTTTCCGTCGATTTCAAAGTCCCTCGCGCATTAAAAACACTTTAAAATATTGATTTTTGCTTTATGTAACAGAGGGAATGTATTACGATCAGTCAAAAAATAACCCCCCCTTTTAGAATTTTACATTTTTGAACTTATGACACCTTGAAACGTCTAGAAATGCAAAAACATTTCTGTATGTATGGATGTTAATGTATATGTGTGTGGTGGGGTACGATTTTGTTCACCCTGTTTGAAGCGTAATAACTTGTGATTTTTGTCAAAAATTTCTCAAATGTTGTAGGGAGGTTTGTGTATTACATTATGTTTAGTCATACAAATTAATCATAATTCGCTTACGTTAATATATTGTTGAATACAGTATTATGTTGTAATGTAAATTAGGAAAATTTGCGGTTTTAAATCATAATATTTTCAATTCAATAAATTATAAATCCAGTAACGAGTTGCGTAACTTTTCCGGCAAAAACATCTAAAATTGCTCCATCTGTTATGATATTTTATTTTAAAATCTTTTTATATTATTAATTATTATAAAATGGCATAAAACTTAATTTTGAGAATAGAAATGAGTTTCAGAAAAAATTTTNATATATATATATATTGAAGAAGAAACAATATTTCAGTGTTATTTATTTGACTCATTCTATATTATTTTTAAGGCTAAATCCCAAAATTACATAAAAACTTTTTGAGTGTAAAGTTTGATTAATCTTACAACACAACGAAACTAAATGAGTAAATACATTAGTAATATAAGTGGCTTACATCATTACATTTTTATAGTTTTTCACTTGAAATGAAAGAAAAAAAAAACAAATTTTAAATTCAAATTTTAATTACGAAAAGCAATTTGCATTTTAAGTAAATGATAAATAAAATACCAGCACGTTACTGGAAATTAAAAATGTAATGTAAAAGAAATACGATTCCTATCGACCTATGTTATCAAAATAAATAAGAATAAAACACGAATTATATTCACCAGATAGCACTGCATCAATTCAAATCAGGAAATCAAGTTGTGTTAGGAAAGAGAATTATGAAATCAAGAACAATGTCGATATTATCGAGAAAATTGCTGAAAAAAAAAATCGGCTTAAATTATAGTTTAAAAATGTTCTATATGTTCCGGTAGAACTCCATTTTAGTTGAATGACCAAGGAGGGAATTCGGATACATTCAGATATACCACACCGAAATATGTTTTTATATTTTGCAAACATGTTATATAAAGAATTTTCTGCAACTAATCGACAATAATTTCTCATGCACCCATCATTGAGGACCGATCGTCTACTTCCGTTGCAGTAATGGGGGGATGAGATCATTAAATCGTGGGACGAACATACTACTCTAATGGACACCCACGCCAAAGATCTGGTTTCCTGTGAATCAAAACTATCGTGTGAAACGACTATATTTACGTAGAAAATAAATTTTACCACACATTTTTAGTTTTATCATAACGAATAAAATCTGAAATTAAGTATTCGACTCACCTAAACATTCTTCCACACGGCATTTTTCAATACATTCCACATTATACAGGATACGAAAATAATATTTATATAAATACCATCTAATGACTAATGTCCTATAGTTAAGGAAAACTTGAAACAGTTTAGTCAGGAAATGGTTCCTCTTTAAAATTTCCTTGAAATTATTTTAACGGATGCATAAAATAGTTCCTTTATACAATATATATAGATCTATAGATGGATGATTTCACCCATTACTAAAAATATAGAATGTTTTAGTGGATAAAGTATATAGAGTAATTAATAATAATAATAATAAAGATTATTATATAAATAAGTTATAAATCGTATACGAAGAGAAAAGTATCCTTGATACTTGTGTCATTATCAAGCTTTATGTTGTGGAAAGAAATTGATAAGAGTGATTTTCTATGCTTCCAGATAAAAACAGAGTTATAGATACTTGTAATTTTCCATAGCAATGAAAATAGATACTTATTTACTATTTTTTTTTATCATAAAAAATCAAATATCAATGTTATTTAAATTCTATGTATTCCACGAGATAAATATGTATTTAACTGTTATATTAAACGTAACTTTAATTGTGAATATTATATACTTTTTTTTCTAAAATAATGATAATAAACATTAAAAGCGATTAAATTACACTTAAAAAAATGATTTTTCGGTTATCTTTCATATGTTAATTTTCTTTGCAACTTATTACAGGTTTGAAAATGACGTTAAGAGGAAATTGTTGTTTAGTGCTTTTCCCTACTTGGTACTTACTAGATGACAAGGACTGCTTTTAATCTTTCTCTACGACCCGCCTTTAATTCCGTCCTTGGCCGCTAGGTGGAGTTGCTATTTTCGACCACAATCCTTGTGTTTCATAAACAGTCATTCCTTTCAATAGCTAATGGAATTTCTGCTGTGTTTTTTTTTTATAATTGTGCATAAAATAGAGTGAGCGATTTAAAAAAAAAGAAACTAATTCATCATCTTTGCCTTGAAATAATGAATGATAATATTACAATTTCTTGTAAGACGTTAACATTAATAATAAAAATATTATGAAATGCTATTATCAAATTAAGTTAAAATTTCATAATAAAGAAAAACATTACAGTGAACAATGTTGTAATAATATAGGATTAGATTAAATGAAGTAAAGCGCATATAAAATAATTTACTACTACAAATACTTATATACACACATACACGCTGTTATTACGTGATTTATAATAATACAGGTTATAAAAGTTTAGATACACGTAGTTGAAATTTTCAAAATTATTCATAATTTTTCTATTTTCACTCATAAGAAAACCCGGAAGAAGTAAATATATTAGATCAACGTATCAACTGCTACTGGCATGTTCAACGTCAACCTCTTTACGTCTATATTTAATGATGATTTAGAATTGTTTGTTGTTTCAAGTGATTCTTGAAGAAAAACATACGTTGGTAAAAACTATATATATATATATATATATTTTTTTTTTTCTTAATAGAAAAAGAAAAAAAATTAATGTTTTTATGACAAGTAGTTTGACTAGTTACTACATACGACCCGTTCATACATTATAAAACTCAGGTCGCTTGTTTAGAACGAGGTCACATCTTTACGACAAAGAAGAAGATTTTCGCATTCTTAAATTATCATTTTACATAAATTACACAGTTAAAAGTATTATGAAATAATAATTTTCCTCCCCTTTAAGAGTTAGTAAATAGCAACACGGGTTTAAAATAAATGTAAGAATTTAATCTTGAAATCTCTATTTCGAAATCTCTAAATAGGCTAAGTATCTTTGTTAAATAGAAGCACGACTTTACCATTGAAGATTCCAAGAAATTGAATTTATTATTATGATGATGATGATTCATATAATTATAAATTATTGTTATTAATTGGAAAATAAATGACGTTGTGAGGGTAAAATATGTCAAGGAACAGACAACCTTTTTTCTTTCTAAAGTCAAATAGAAGACAAAATGAAACAAAAATTAACTGGTTAAATTCCGGAAGTTCAAAGTTGTTCACCTTGCGCATGAGTAGAAGGTCGATTAGGGAGACGAATTTTCGGATATCACATGACAGCCGTTAATATTTTTTTTATCATCAACGAAATTAGAGTTTAAAAATTCTCGATTTAGTTAAACCGTATCTGATAAAGATAAAAAATAATTTCGGTTATATAAAGAGAAATAATTATGTAGTCCTGGAAAAGGTCGTACCTAAAAAAAAAACTGACTAGATTGGTTATATTGAAACACATCCAAAAAAGAATATATTAAAAATAAATCCGGTATGAATAAAGTTACGAATGAATAGTGTAGATAAATGTAAAGGTAAAAGAAAAATTGCGTAGATTTAGTTTTATTATCAATAAACGAATTAACTAAATAAACCCAAGAGAAGAATGCCAAACTGGTCTCGTCTACAGAACATACACAGGTTATCATTAAGGGCGTGTAGAATAAGCTATCTTTACCTTAACTCTCCCTTTTTAACTTAAACATTCACCCTTTAAAAAGCTTATAATACATCTATATTGGGTTAATCAAGCGAATCAAAATGTAAAAAAATATGTAAGTATTCTTAAAAATTATCTGCCATTGTTCTAAGAAAGAAAAAAAAAAAAGAAAAAAAAAGAAACCACCATCACTTACTTCGAAGCCATGACGCTGGAATTCGCCGTCAATTCTCCCGAATAACGCTTTTTCACGAGGGTCGACGTGATTTTTACTTAAGAAGTAACAACAAATCCACTTTAAAAAACACGCCCAACAAACTCCAAACACAAACTTCCAATAGTTTGACGCGCGCAAATGTAACTTGTCAAGTGGAGTGTATAAACAACACTCTACTGACTGACGTCACGTGAGGCAGTTATGCTTCTCATTGGTTGACCGCACAAAATTATTATGAACAAGAGCAACAAGATTGTAAAAGCGGGGAAACGAGTAAGATAAAACTGGATCCACAACTTTATTCTCTTAGTAAATCCTCTATAATGACGTTTAAGATAATCTTAAGGAAGAAGAAAAAAAAAAAAAAAACCAAGATCAAACAGAGAGCTTATATATTTACGTATCATAAAATAAATACTCAGTTTTATTTTAAAATATAAAATAAAATATTGTTTATAACGTAATAATTTTTTATTATATTATTAATTTTAAAATTATATTATTTTTAGTAGATATGTTAAATGCCCCTACAAATAAGCTATCCGTAAGGACAGTAGTTCCATCCGTTGTAATCAGATCAACGCATTTGTCCTTTCTACGTTCCAAATACATCGGTACCAGGTTCGGAGTGTTAAATAACATATCACAAGTGCTACAACCTCTAGTTTTGATCGAATTAAGGAGAAATACAAATGAACTGCATTTGCACATCTGATATTCTAACACCTTTCCTATTTTAAATATTTGCATTTACTTTTTTTAAGGTGTCTTCCTCGTGTACAGTTTAAACCTGTATTATTCCAGTTCCTCTTAAAATGTATTATAATGAATTTCAATTCGTTATTATTTAAGGTAATATTAAGTAAAATTTTAATTATATTTTTAAAAATATTATTACAAATTAAAGTGTTGTAAAGTATTCATTTAGTTTTCAATTGAATATATTGTTGTTATTGTAATTTTTCACGTATTTTGAACTTTCTGAAGCTTACAAAACTTTAATTTTTATCTAATATAAGCATTTTTTATAATAATATACAGTAGACCACCCCTATAACACTGTAGATAAATCCGTGTTATATGAATTCCATGTTGTACGAGTCACTTAGATTTTACAAATACGTGTGCCGGGCTGTGAACGGCTCATAAAATTTAATATACAAACTTTATATTATAATTGTTTTATAAGAAATTGTCATTTTATTGTATAGTAATTTAGTAAATATACAAGAGAAAGAGGATAAGACAATTTTCTAAAATTGTTTTAAATTGATATCGAAAGAAAAATACGTCTTCAAATATTTATAATGCTAAAGTTTCATTAACATGTCAGTTTAAAATAGGCACGAGCATATTCTCCTATTTAAGCCTGTAGCCAGGTGAGAAAAAAACTAAGTCCTCTATTATCTAAAGAACAATTCTAAGTAACAGACCAGAACGTTTTCCTGTTCCGGAGGTTAGTGGTACAAAGATATAAATTGGAATTTGATGACAAGAAAGTGTGGGTCATGGAATAAATATTAGTGAGTTTTATTTTTAAAATTTATATATTTTTTTTTAAAT